CCTTTAACACTGATCTCAGATTTAAACAAAAGAGAAAAAGTTATTCCACAAGTTCAAAACAGAAAATGCACTAACACGAGTCAGATTCAAAGTACATTTGTTTTTATTGTTATTATTAATATATGATTTAAAACATTTTTCTACCTGAAACAGCTTCTGAGAGTGTGAATACATTAGGACTGCATCATACTTACAGAGCAGCAGCTCAGCTGGTAAACCATGGCTAACAGGTAATAAAAGCTTTGGTTTTTAGCGAGGGTGAACTGCCGCTTGTCGAGCTCCATCGTTTCCATCGTTAAATTGCTTGAGATGTGCGTCCTCTCTGGCTGTTTTATTGAACTTGTCAAAAGCCCCAGGAATGATTTAAGTCCCGATGAGTTCTTGAAGGCTAGCTTKTTGTTGTTAGCATTTTAGCTTTGTGCTACATTCAGGAGTTAACGGACGTTACATGTTCTCAAATTGGGAGTAGTTGTTCCGATGTTTATGATTATAATGTTTGTGTGTAACATACAGGGTTAATTGGTAAAATAATAATAATAATTCATAAAATGACTAGTTGTTTTTCAGCACGGGGTGTTCTAATTATTGTTCTAGTGAGAAAGTTGTTTTTTCCAATGTAACTTGAACCTTGCTCGGGTCGTATTGGAGGGGAAATGATTWGACCAAAATGGATAAAAATAAAGGAGCGCACTCACAACCAYGCTGGCAAACATGAACATATATTATCGGTTCTGTTTGTTATGATATCGCGCCGATCACTATCGTGCACCCCTAGTAATATTTTTAAAATTTGTTTTGTATGAAGACATTCTCAGTTCTGAACAGCTGTCTTTACAGTTTAATAGCATGACTCATTAATGGTCAAGTCGTACTGTAGTTTTTGTAGAATGTGATTTTTTAAAATTTTATTATTATTTGTACCTTCTTTGAAGCAGAACAGATATATAAACCATAAACATGAGCAGTATGCTTGTATGGTATCGTATCAGTATGTGAAATTGTAAAAAGTCTTTGAAGGTCTCGAAAAGCTCTATATAAGACTAATACATTATTATCATTAAGATTATATAAAACCTTCTGCCACCAAACAGTAAAACAACATTTGAATCAGAAAATGCTAAAG